ATAAAAGCTTTCAAAAGCCCTATCTAACCAGCATGAAGGCTTAGTTTAATTAGAAAATATACTGGTATGTGAGACACTAGAAATTGAACTCTGAATGCACCAATCTATTTGGAAACTCAACCTTCAAAGATCACTTATGTCTCAGATGTTGGACTCTATAAGGCCCGCTTCATTTATCCCATTTAGACCAGACCTAACATATCTCACCCACCCACCCCCACCTTTTCCTGGTACTGGAGATTGAACCCAAGGCCTCACACATGCTAGGCAAGTAGTCTACCATGTGTCATCCTCAGTCTTTAAAAAAAGAAAAAAAAAACTATTAATTTTTGAGGCAGGGCCATCTGAGTGGTCCAGGCCGGCTTTGAACTTGTTTTATAGCTCTGACAAGCCTGGAACCTGCAATATTTCTGCTTCAGCCTCCAGAAGAGCCTGTGTCTCACCCCTTTCTAAAGCTCAAAAGGAGGGAAGGAACTAGCAGTCCCACTGGAAATGCCTTTCTAGACCTGCTAGCCAACTAACGTCACCTTCTTTATACACTAAATTTCCAGAGGAACAGTAGGAACAAACCAACTATAAATTAAAGAGTACAATCATTGTTCAACTTAGAGTCCAAGCAAGCTAGAACAGCTCAGTGACAGACCACACTCATCATGAGGACTCCTGACTGCAGGTTTTGTAACCTATAAGAGGCTTCAAAAAACCTGGGCATCAGACAGCCTTGAATTTGAGTCCAGCCCTGCTGCTTACCATGTGCAACCTTGGTTAAGCTATTCAACTTCACAATCCACCAGATGTTCCTTATTTCTTATATGTTATAGCACCTTGCACTTGGGAGGTATTCATTAATAGTCACTACTGTCGCTACTACATGACCTCTGATCTAGTATCTGGCCAAACAATGACTATTAGAGATTTCAAAGTTATTTCATTGATTCTCACAGATACACTCAAACAGCATCAATACAAAGGAATAAGCCAAACTTGGGTAGTGCTGTATTTTATGAACAAAGACTGCTTCTAGAAGTCAAAACAACAGGTTGTGTAAAACAATCTGGAAGTAAAAACAAAGCACAGGGATGGTCCTCTGCAAAAACCCCAGGGTGAATGAAGTCAGAGCTCATCCTCGAAAGGAGGAAGCAGAAATTCTACACGGTCCAGGATACTTAAATACCGCATTCATCCAGAGGCTGTATGTCTAGAACTGCCTCAATATTGGTTTTCTATCAATCAAGTTCTTATAGCACATAAATGAAGACCTCACTGTTATTCGAAGTCATCCTCTCCTGAGAAGTAACTCTTGGAGACCCACTTAGGTGACAGTATCTTAATAACTTTGACCCTTATTTGACCATAAACTTGCTACACTTCTAAAATGGAATCCTTGTGGAGCTTACTGTGGAATGGTGACGTGTACAAAGGGCCTCAATTGTTGTCGTGCCATCTCTTGACTGATCATCATAGTTGATGAGCCCAATTCAGTTTCTTTGACTATTAAATGACAGGTTTGGATGCAATTATTTTTGAGGTTCTTTTCTAGTCAAAACATCCTGTGATTCTGGTCAGGAGGAAGGCTCACTGGTACAGCATGTTCTTACCATGTGCAAGACTCTCTAGTACCACCAAAAGCCCCATGATTTAAGAAACACAATATTGCTGTGCACCTCAGGGCACTTGACTGTTGCTTTTTATTAATGATAACAATCTCTCTACTAAACACTATCAGAACAGGCCCTGAAGGAGATGTTAGGGATGTGGACAGTCTAGACTTTAGCAGTGCATACTTCTCCCAATGAACAGCTAATTTTATAACTAAAGTAGAAGAGATTAGAGCCCAACAGTTGGAAACAAAGTAGTCAACTACTTGGGGGGGGGGACCCTTCCTGTGTTCAAAAACAGAGTTGACAAGGAGACTACAACATGACCCTGCAAAAAAGTGACCTGGGTATGGGGTCTGAAGGCCAAACCTGCCTATGTACTCTTGAGCCCACATACAATCACTTTGTCTCTCTCAACTGCAATATCCTATTTAAAAAATGTAGAAAAACACTTCCATCTCCCTTATAACTTTTTTTTAATGTGTACGAGCATTATGCCTGCATGTGAGTAAGTGCATCCATGTTGTACAATGCCCATGGAGGACGGAAGAGGGTGTCAGATCCCCTGGAACTGGGGTTACTAATGGTTGTTGGCTGCTATGTGAGTGCTAAGATTTGAAACTGGGTCTTCTGCAAGAACAACCAGTGCTCTTAACCACTGAGCCATCTCTCCAGCCCCTCCCTTATAACTTTTAATATAAGGGGGCTATATATGGGAATTCTTAGGAAAATACATAGTGCATAAAAGACATTCAATAAATGTTAACAGACTTAGGAGAAACTACCACTCTTAATTTTTTCCCCTATTCCAAAACAATGTGCATTATATCCATGACAAACACGCAAGTTTCATTCTTTCTGGGATAGAGATCTCCCTCTAAGATAAGAGGAGTTGGTAAGATGCTTGGAAATGAATTTCTGTAACGCAGTAGAAACTAAATGTTTCCTGGGGTCAGATAGGTATAAGTTGCTCTCAACATGATATAGATACATGGTGCTAATGACACCCATTAGAAGGTGTAAAGGTTAAGGTAAAGAATGGAGTAGATCCCCAAATTTCTTACTATATCACATCAACTCAATGCTACACACTTGATTTCTACCTTTGCGGTTCAAAGCAAACAGCCATGGGTTACCTCCTCAGTGGCAGACACTTTCCTAAGTGCTTGACACATAAAACTCAATCCTGACAACAACTCTAAGAATATAGATATTATTATTATTATCTGAGTTTGATAGGTGAGGAAAATGGGGCACAGCAAAGTTAAGCAACTTGTACTAGGTCACAAAGACATTTTATAAATTGAGGATCAGCATCCTGGGAGTCAGCCAGGTTCCAGCTCTGATACTCAGGCCACACAACCTTGGGAAGGACCTGAATCATTATACTTGTTAAGTTAATGGGTGAGCACTTCCTAGGTAGACTGTGCTTAGTGTTTGGTATTGTATCTCAATTAATTTAATCCACACAATAAATTAAGAGCATGGTATATTATTCCCTCTATTTTATAGACAAGGCAACCGAGATTCAATGGCCTAAAATAACATGTCAATGGTCATGAAGTTAGCTAACAGTTCTTGATTAGAATCAAGGTTGATTTAATGCCATATTCCACCTTCTTTCTACTATACTTGATATGACTTTATTAGAAAAACAAAGTAACATAAAGAACCTTCCCTCTTCTCTTTAAATAATGAACTAATTACTCTCTATGTCCTTCCTTTTGATCTGATTCCTCAGTGCCCCACAATTGCTACTTTTTGATGGTGTGGCCTTGAACTCACAAGAGATCTACCTGCCTCTGCCTCCCAACTGCTGGGATTAAAGGCATCTGCATCCACCACCACACCTGGCCCTCACAATCACTTTTATTCTAAACATTTTCAAATCTGTTTTTCTAGGTAAGAAAACTAAAGTGCCTGCTATCAGCTTTTTCAGGGTTCAGCCTCCATCTACCTAAAGCTGGGCAGTTCGTTTCTATTCTGACTGCCTGGCCACTTACCCTGTATTTTCCCCTTGCTAGTCATATTGCCACAGTTTCTCTCTTTAGGAGCCAAACCATACTGCAACATGAAGCTCAGCTATTTTCTCTGTGCTATCATCAGCCCTACTACACTGTTCCTACTCTAACCAACATTCAACATGACAGCTTTCTTCTCAAAGAGCTAACTCTCTTACACCAAGTCAGAACATTCTCAGGCTTGGCTTGGCTAAAAAGGGTATGTGTCTGGAAATCCTGAGAAGCAATTCAGGATATCACCTTAAACAACAGACCACGGTCCTCACTTCCCAACATAAAAGGGAAACTAGAGATGGCCAAGGACTTAAGCACTGACAAGACTTTCCAAGTGTGGTAAGCAAAAGCCAACCTGAAGGGAGATCAAGAAACAGAAGGGATAAATTGGAGGAAGCAAATAAATATGGAATCTAATTGGTTTATTCATGAAATACTAAAATGTTGTAATAAGATCCAGGTGGAGGTTTTTGCTCCTCCCTTCTTTATAGAAGAAAGTTCCTATTTATTGCTGGTTTCTGGACTATAGTATAAGTGCTTTATAAATGAACAGTAGTTAATTCAACACAATAGCCAAATTAGTATACTTCGTTCTTTTGAAAATCAGCTTGTAGTTCTAACAAATCTTCTCTGGAAAGCAGTAATAAATCAAGTTCAAATAATACAATCTACACAGTATATTCACCTACGCCTTGAGTGAGTTTCTCCTAAATGAGGCAGATCTGCTCCACAGTGAAGCATATCAGAAGGTGAAGGGGCTAAGACCTGGCTAGAATACAGCCCATGTATCCTCCCAAAGACAACTGAACTGCAGGAAAAACACTGGACTTGGATTCAGACAACTAGAACCAAATCTTATTTCCATTTTCCTTTGGCTGTGTGGAGTTGGACTACATTATCATCCTAAGTTTAACTATTTGTAAAATGAGGAATAGCCTCACTCTACTCACAAGGTTGTTGGGAAGAATACATGGAAATGAAGTCTCTTCTTAAGCAATAATTGTGACTTATTTTTGGATCTTTTCTACCAAGGGCAAAAATGACATATTGGCAGCTCACTGGTACAAAGTACATGAAAGCACAATAGTGGCCACAGAACAGATCATGAGCATAGGCATGATGCTATGCTGCCCTTCAGAGGGAGGGACTATGGGGGCTGAGAAACAGGAAGAAGGATGAAGAGTAAGGTGTCAGTTATGCCTAGCAATTAACTTGGTCCTGGATGTTTTTACAGAAAGGAGTAATCAATCACCTCTATAAAAATAATCTCCTAAACAGACTAAAGGTGTCAGGTATGCTACTTTTTAAAGCAAAACGTGCAAAATTCCTGGAAGGAAAAGTAATGGAGAGCTAATGGTTCTTGGAGATAAAGAGCTACTCAAGAGGAGTGGAATTTACAGCAAGACATCATTTCACTGCAGAGCTGTAAAGTCAAAGAACAATGAATGGTTAGCTTGAAGATCTCGGATGGAATCCTGGCTCCTAAGCATGACCTTGGGCAAGTTATTTAACCCATCTAGAGTCTCAATTGCAAAACAGATAATGCCTCACAGAACTGCTGCCCAGATTAAATGAGATAATGAATAGGAAAGCTGTTAATGCAATACAAATAATAGGTATTATTAGGCGTTAGATTCTCCACCCACTTACAACATATGTCCATGACCTTGGGCGTGATTTCAGTTCTTTGCACCTCGGTTTCCTCATCTATAAAATGGGAAGGATGATACCATCTACCCTATAACACTCTGAAGATCAAATGAGATCACAGATGAGGCATCAACGCCTGGAAAACTACACAGTGGTACAGGTACATGAAGAACTGCCATCGTTGCTGCTACGTTTTATGCATGTCAAGGGCCGTTATATGCAGAGAAGCATCTATTTTTACACTATACAGGTGAGAAAGCCTCGCATGCATATATGCATTCAAGAGTGGGGCACAGGGCAGCCGCGCATCTGCGGATTCTGGGGGTGTGACTTGCACGCTTAGGAAGACCTTAGGAGAGGCTGCCGGGCCAGGAATCAGAGGAGTGGGCGCCAGAGTGGGGGCTGGGGGATGTAGGATGCACGGATGGGAAAGGCTGGGGGCACCAACACGCATGCCCAAGCCGGAAACGTTTTCTGGGGGGAGAGCAATGCGCATCCCCGGAATAAGAGGGGGTGGGGAAGGATGCTATGTGCAAGCCCTGAGGGCGGCCCGGGGGTGAGACAGCGCACGCCCGGGGCCAGAGTTCTTTACCTTGTCGCTGTAATCCCGCAGGACCCGCTCGATAGCCCCCGCCTCGCCGGCCCGGACGATGTAGAGGGCGCGCTCTTCATCCATGGCCGCAGGTGCGGGGGAGCCGCGGCCGCTGTGCGCGCCCCAGCCGCTGCCTCCAGGTAAACGTCTCGCGCCCCCGCTAGCTCGCTCCTTCCCAGCTTCCTTCCTTCTCTCTTTCCCTCCCTCCCTCCCTCCCGTCTCCAACCCGCCAGCCTCCGCCCGGGCAGGCCCGACGTCACCGCCCCTCAACTTTCACCCCGCGACGTCACCGCTCCCCCAGCAACCGGCGCCTCGCCGCCGCCCCCGATCAGGCCCAGGACTCGGTGGAGACCTGACGCGGGGCCTGATACCGGGTCAGGCCCGGGGCCCTGCCTGCTCGCCTCCGCCTGCCAGCCTCCGAGAAGAGTCCAGTCTTTGAAGCGGGCTTTCACAGGCAGTAGTGTTCTCTCCTAACCCTCTACGAATCATTCTCCTTAGCAGACGGGAACAGCCGGGCTCTTCCCCGCCCATCTGTGAACCAGCAGCTGAGGGACTACAATTCCCGGCATGCAACGGGTCACGCCACTCTGCCATCTAATCTACTGAAGAGCTGAGTGGCATGCCGGGATTGGTAGTCATCCAGCGAAAAGATTTCTCACCAAGGGTGTGCTGGGAATTGTGGTTCCCTGAGGGCCGGAAACGAGAGTCTGGCGACCGCTCCTGGCCAGCAGCGAACAGACCAGACCGTTAGAGGGAGGGTCTAAGCCGCGGTTCTGCCTAGGTTTTGTTCCTTTCGCCGCTGACCAGCACCAGACGTGGCTGGTCCCGCTGACTGGCAAGAGCGGAAGCTGCTGGCCCTTGGTGGGAGCTGTCAACTGCCGGCTTAATTCCCTCTGTGCTCGGTTAGCGGTTTCGATCACTGAATTCTTCTCACCTTCCTTGCTCGGTTGCAGTCGTGTTAGGAACTCAGCTACAATGTGAGAAACTGAAGGCAGTTATCTGGATGGGAGAGAATTTGGCGACATTTCACCTTTAGAATAACCTTAACCCGCCTGGTGCTCACGGAACCCCCACACTGGTGGTGGTTTCATAGAGCCTCTGATTCTCACAGCACAGGTTTCTGGTGGAGCCAGAAGGAACCCGAACAGGTTAAGCAATTTGGCCGAAATCCTAGGTTAGTAAATGAGGAAGCTGAGATTTGAATCCAGGTCTTCCCCGAAGGTGGCTGTCTTCCAACCACTAGCAAATGTCATACCACCTAAGTAGTAAAGAGATGGTGGTAATGATGGAGGTTCACAGTCGCCAAGTGTTCATTCTGTGCCAGGCAGTCACACTTCACCAGTGTTCGTTCCATTTCTCACAAATTCATTCAACAAAAACTAGAACCTGTGCTGTACCAGGCATTATCCAATGCAGTGTGGAAACAGTGGCCCCAAAACAAAGTCTCAGCCTCCCTCGAGTTTCCGTTCTAGTGAGCCACTCCATGAACAGCCCTGATATCCCTGTTTTAAGATGAGGATCCGTCCTAGAACAGTTAAAATTGCATAATTTTTAAACTCAGTTTGAACTTGGAGCCTGTTCTGCGCTCCCCTGCTTTTTCGTAGAGAGTAAATAAGCAGCTTTTCCCTCCAAGCAGTCATTGGTGCTTTTCCCGGCTGGCCTCTTAAGTTGTGCTGAAGAGGAAGTAGAGTAAGCAAACGTTTATTCACCTCGTAGTTGAGTTTTATACTGTGGTAGGCTCTGGGAATTCGGAGATAAAAGCAGCATGGAAACTGCATTCATGGAGCTTTGGGGTTTTCTGTGGATTGCACTTTTCATGTAGCAAACATTGCACATATTGTAGAGCCTGTCACCGGGCAGGGGTTTTGTCAGCTTTCAGTAATTGTGACAAAATACTTAATCTGGAGAGATGGCTTAGAGGTTAAGAGCACTGACTGCTCTTGCAGAGGGCCTGGGTTCGATTCCCAGCACCCACATGGCGGCTTAACAAACCGTCCTTAACTCCAGTTCCAGGGGAATCTGAAGCCCTCTTCTGACCTCCACAGCATTGCACGACACAGGTGCACTCACGTACATGCAGGCAACACACTCATACACATAAAATCAAAATAAATAAAAATTTTAAAAAATATATTTAAGCTAATTGCAAAAGGAAAAGATAGGAAGATAGGTTTTGATTCATGGTTTTGGTCCATGGCTCCTTGGAGCCATAGCCTGTGGCCAAGTAGCCCATCATGCCTTGGAGGAGGCTGCTCATCTCACAGCCACTAGGAAGCAAAGAGCCAGAAAGAGGCCAAGAATCCCAATATCCCCTTCAAGAGCATTCTGCTGACTAAGTTCCTTTGATTAGGTCCTAAAGGTTCTACCACCGCCCCAACTGTGCCATGGATTGGAAGGACTAAGCCTTTAATAAATGGGCCCAGAGATTTCAGACACAAAGTGTATATAAAAGGGTGGGTACTATGTCTGTAATAAATTAGGTCAGAAAAGTTTCAATCCATCCCTCAAAAAGAGCACACTTCTCGCAAAAGTAAGCTACAATCCTAATATATAAATCCTAAAATAAAAATTTTAAGTTTATGAAACTTAAATACTCATGATTTCAATGGATTGCTGACAACGGTGTTGTTTCTACTTCATAGAGAAGAAAAAAGTTCCAGGTGAATTAAGTAGCAAAGTGAAACTCAAATTCAAAGTGAAACTTAACAGTGAGCTGTTAAGGTATTTGGGGGTTCAGTTCTTTATGAAATCTTGTTTGGGTAGCCACATATTTATTCTGGGGTCAAAGATCTCTGGAGGAGGATGTTAATAAGTAGAAAGTAACCCAGTAAAGCTATTCTTTTAAAGAAGGAGAGTTCTTGCATGTCTTTGAAATAATCTATTCGCAAGGCGGGAGAGATGGCTCAGCGGTTAAGAACACTGACTGTTCTTGAAGAAGCCCCAGGTTCGAATCCCAGCATCCACGTGACAGCTAACAACTGTCTATAACTCCAGTTCCAGGGGCTCCAACAGCCTCTTCCATCCTCCGCAGGCGTTGCATGACACAGGTGCACTTACCTACATACAGGCCTAACACTCATACACATAAAATAAAAATAATAAATAAAATATTAAAAAAAATAATCTATTTGCCAGATATAGGCTATATTTTTAGGCTCCAATTCTGTGCTTTTAAAAGGAAACAGAAAAATATGAAACTACATGAATTAATAACAGGAAATTACACTTTAATAATCTTAATGAAATATTAATATTCTGATTTCATGAATCAATAGATCATTTTTAAATATTTTTTTTTATTTTGTGTGTGTGAGTGTATTGCCTGCATGTGTGTAAGTGCACCCATGTCATCACCCATGGAGATCAGAAGAAGGCGTCAGATCCCCCCAGAACTGGAATTACAGCTGGTTGTTAACCACCATGTGGGTGCTGGGAATCAAACCTGGGTCCTCTGCAAGAGCAGTCAGTGCTCTTAACCACTGGACCATCTCTCCAGCCCTGTATCAATAGATCTTTAAGTCAAGTTGTTTTTTGACCACTGATAAGACTCTGGTCCCAGAAAAATTAAGTGGCTTGTCCAAAGTCAATAGTTAAAAAACAGACTCTGGGACTAGAGTCTAGACTAGCCACTACATCACTTTACCTCCCTAAATATTAGTTATGTGATGCTTTCAGTGACTAGAGACTAGTCCAGCATGAAGTCCAGTTTCTCTTGATGTGTGGGTGGCATGGTACCAAGGAATTAGGATTTAGAACCTGGATAATTGTAGCAACAAATACAAGCCATCACTCTGAGATATACCAATATAATACTTTCATAGTGTTTTGCTAGTCTCAAAATATGTCCACAGAGATTATCTGCTTTAACCCTTCTAATAGCTGAAAAAGTAAGGTCAATAGGACAGGCACTATCTTCTTTTTTATACAGAAAAGGGAAGTTCAGGGTGTTGATTAGCTTGCTCATAAGTAAACAAGTCTGCTAATAAGTGGCATGGACAAGGGCTTGAAGTTCTGATAATAAAATATTGTGGACTTTCAGGTTAGGGCCAATGAGAAAGCTTGCAAATAGATACTAGTCATTTATTTTGGACTTTGATATATCCTGCTGTGGCATTTCCTCTTACCATGACAATAGGTTAGTTGGAATGTGCCAGATTGAAGGTCTTTAAGGAGCACCAGGTCCTGACCACTTTTAAAAATCTAACTCTTCCAGGGGCTGGAGAGATAGCTCAGTGGTTAAGAGCACTGACTGCTCTTGCAGAGGACCTGGGTTCGATTCCCAGCACCCACATGATGGCTGTGAACTGTCCTTAACTCCAGTTCCAGGGGAATCCTGAACTCTATTCTGACCTCCACAGCATTGCATGACACAGGTGCACTCATGTACATACATGCAGGTGATACACTCATACACATAAAATAAAAATAATAAAAAAACAAAATATTTTTTAAAAAATCTAACTCTTCTACATGCAGTACTTTGCTCGCTTTCCTTGGAGGCAGAAATTTAGAAACTAAACAGCCTAGTAACTCCAGAATGGGAGTTCAGAAAACTCTATTAATTCAAGATAGGACCTGTCATTTGGCAACCACCACCTCCTGTGTGAGGCCACTCAGCTTCTCTTAACCCAGTGTCTTCAGCTAAGACAGAGGACTTGACCCAGAATTATTTAAGAATTAGTTCTAAAACTTTGTAATTCTAAAACAATGAAACCACACTTGAATACCCATTCTTTAGGAAAATTCATTATGAGAAAGGACTTGTGCAAAGTAACCAGTACTATCATGCGTGTCCATCGTTGCTTGGACATACCTGAGAAGTTTTTTATTCAGTTGATCTGCAGTGAGGCCTGGATATCAGTCATTTTAAAAGCTTTTCCTAGTTGAACAGCAATGAGGATTGAAAACCCCTGAACTGGTCTTTGAAAAAGGATCACTTATTGAACTAGTTTTTTGGTACCCTCCCAAACTCATGTATATGCAACAGTATGAGAAATATGAATAACCTGGCCAAAAGGAAGTTATCTTCATTTCATTTTCTACCAAGAATTAAGTCAGTCATAGCAAAACTCATTAGTTTGTTCCTTTAACAAATATTTTTTGTTCTTTGGACCCCAGCATGGGTGTTAGACGCCACAGAAAGTTAAAAAAGAAAAGTAGAAATAATTGATCCTGGCATTTGGGGATGTAAGAGACAACCAGATAACAAATGAATCCTTTTCAGTGATAGGAAGGAAACTGAACAATTTCTGTACAAATCAAAAAAAAAAAAAAGTGATGGAGAAGCAGGTAATCAGAGCAGCTTTCTTGGAGGAGATTCACTATGGAGAATGCTGGAGACTATACACTATGGGAAAAGCCCCAGATGCAGGATGTTGAGATGGTTCAGTGGGTAAAGGCACTTGCTGCCAAGCGTGCCGACCTGAGTTCAACCTGTGGATCTCACATGTTGGAAGGAGAGCACCAACTCTTTTGCAAGATGTCCTCTGACTTCTACTCATGTGCCATTAAAATGTATGATTACTTGACCTGGTCTTTCGGCA